CGAGCCGGGCGTTGGTGGTGCACGCCTTTAATGTCAGCACTCAGGAGGCAGAGGCAGGCGGATCTCTGTAAGTTCGAGACCAGCCTGGACTACCAATCGAGTTCCAGGACAGCCTCCAAAGCCACAGAGAAACCCTGTCTTGAAAAAAAACCAAAAAAAAAAAAAAGGCCTCTTCATTGAAAACATTTTGAGAGGAGTCCTTGGGCTTTGTTCTGAAAGCTGTTAGTTGTTTGTGTGTGTGTTCCCTTATTCAAGTGTGTGTGTGTGTGTGTGTGTGTGTGTGTGTGTGTAAGGCAGAGAGGTCAGTCGTGGATTCACTTGTGTGTAGATGTCTATTGTGTGTGTGTAGAGGTCAGAGGTCAAGCTTGGGTGTTATTCTGCAGCTCTCACTGGCCTGGAACTCACTGCTTAGGCTAGACAGGTTGGCCAGCAATCCCTAGGGAGCCATTTGCTGTCCATGTCACCCACATTGGAATGACAAGCAGTTGCACCATGTTTAGCATCCTGGGAATCAAACTCAGGCCCTCGGACTTGAAAGGGTAAGGTAAGCCCTTTACTGTGGGAGCTAGCTCCTGAACCAGGCAAGTTTCTTTGTCTGCTCTGCCTCAGTTTTCTCTGATTAAGTAGCTAGCCATTGGCCTACGTTGGCTCCCAAGCACTAATAGTCTCTCTTGACTTGATCTGCTGTTTACTACTGAATTGTACCATTCTCATAAGCACCTTCAGGCTGAAACTGTGCAATGCTCTGTTTTCAGTAAAGGCACTCCCTTTTGGGCAAACCTGAGTATTCTCTTTTCTCATAGAGTGCTTACCCACAGGTGATGTCTTTGTCACTCTTCTAGATTTGAGAATAGGGAAAAGGCCTACTTCTCTCAAAATGTTGTCCTGATTTATGAATTGAACATGGGGGAATGTTCTCAGCCCACCATGCATGGAGTAGAGTTCCCACTGTATCTGTTGTGAAGGAAGGAGCCCTCAGCTGTGCTTGCTCATCAGGGATTCGGTCTGTGCACACTAAAGGCAGTGATGAGAAAGGATGCTGGGCCTGCCTCCACCCGAAAAGCCTTCCAATGCTGTACCCTTGTATAAGCCGTGGAGGGGAGCAGGAGTCCCGCCTGGTCTATACCCACCTAGAGGGAAACCCCTGCCTGTCCTTCTGCAAGCTGGACTGCATCTGAGGAAGGAGAAATGAGTCACAGCCCCAGTGTCCACACTCACTCTAGTTCTTATGAAGACTTAGCAGGTTTATAAATATGTGTGCCTTGATTTTTCATACACCTTTTTCTGAAAAGGTGAATAATTCTATTTCTTTTTAATTTCTACCAGATATGGCTATTTTTCTGAGAAGTAGGTCTATCCATGGTGCAATTTTCTGTTCCAGAAACAGAAGTCATCAATTTTATACAATATTTAGTTAATGTGGAGGAATGATCATGACAACAATGGACAGCAGAATAATTTAAAACTATCTTCTGCGTATGTGTGTAAATATTTAAATAAACATGTTTTGTATATTGACGGAGATTAGAAAATATGGTTTTAATATTTTCTTATTCCCCAAAGTTCCTTTTTTAACTTAGGGACTATCAGTTATTTATTCACTTACTTTTTATTACAGTTTTATTGATTATGGGGGATGTGTGCCATGGTGAGGGTGTAGAGGTCACTTCAACCTCGTGAAGTAGGTTCTTTCCATCACTTTTAGGTAGGTTCTGGGCATCAAACTCATGCTGCCAGGCTTGCATCAGGCAGCAAATGGCCTCTACCAGCTCAGTCATCTTACCTCTGATTCTCTTTAACGAATGCATGTTATTAGTATAATAAAAAATAAAATTAAGATAAAATACAATGTCTTGGTGCTTTAAGCACAAGCATGCTTTTATCAATGCACCTTGTTGAGGAACTGCAGTCATATTAGAGGAACCATTAGTGGTGCTGCAGAAGTGTTTGCACATTTCTGTTCTGCAGTGGTCAAAGTACCAATGAAATGCATGGTAACTATGGTAGTCTAAATAGATGACGTATTTTTATAAATCAAACGACAGAGATTCAAATTTGGCCGATTTTGCAACACTGAGGATATAATTGCACTTTATTTCAATTCTGCCTTTGCCTCTTTCTCCCTCTCCCTCCCTGCTCCTTACTCCTCCTCTGTCTCAGTCTTGCTATATAGCTCGGGGTGGTCTTGAACTTGCTTGTGTATCCTAGCCTGGCCCCAAATTAAATTCATGACTCTTGTTTTTGTCTCTTGGTGCTGGGCTTACAGGTGTGAGCTGTCTTTGCCTGGCTGCTGTCTCTTGCCTATTATAATGATGTTAATTGACAATTCTGGGTACTTATAGTGAGTCAGACCAGTTTTCTCTAAGTGATAGATCCTAAATTTAATGAAATATATTATATTATGTATTTCATATTTTTTGGATTTAATTGTGTTTAGAGACCTAGACAGAAAACCTGAACAGGATTGTTTTAAATTTTTAAGGTTTGTTGTTGTTTTCAGAATTTTTCATTTGTTTTTATTTTAGCATTCATTCTTCCTTATGCCACACAGCTCAGGGTCCTAACATAGTTGGTAGTGCAGTTCCTAAATTCTCAACTCTAGTACTCTGACTGTGAGTGTTGAGCGGTTCCAGAGTGCACTAACTAGTTAATGTAACATTTTGCTGGTAGAACGACTCTTACATTTGTGGTTATAGAATTCTGAGGAGGATCAGGAGGATTAGTGACGCAAGAGATGATACTAAGAGGCTGTGAGGGCTGTGGTCCGAGAGAGAGCTCAACAGGATGAAGACTCAGCCATGTCAACAGGGGTGAGTTTGGCTTTCCCAGAGGGAAGGAGGAAGGAGTGAGAGGGGAGTGTGTGGGATTCCAGCTCCTGAAATCAAGCTACTTGCAGGGCGAAAAGCAAGGCCAATGGGGCGACTGTTATAAAACTGAATCCACACTATGTTCATAGCAGCTTTATTTGTAATAGCCAGAACTTGGAAGCAACCTAGATGTCCCTCACCCGAAGAATGGATAGAGAAAATGTGGTACATCTACACAATGGAGTACTATTCAGCAGAAAAAAATAATGGAATCATGAGATTCGCAGGCAAATGGATGACACTAGAAGAAACCATCCTGAGTGAGGTAACCCAGTCACAAAAAGAGAAACATGGCATGTACTCTCTCATATATGGATTTTAGACATAGATCTGGGGAGTGCCAGCCTACAATCCTATTGCCAGAGAGTCTGGGAAACAGAAACTTCATTTACTGGCTGGTTAAGTACTGAGCTGAACTCAAGAAAGCCAGTATCAGAGAGGGAGGACTGATGATCAAAGGGATTAAGACTGGGCTGGTTGAACCCCCAGAAACAGCTGACCAGACAAAGGTTAACTCTTGAATCCCAGGCATCAGCCTGGGAATCCAGCATGGGACTGATCAAGACACCCTGAATCTGGGTGTCAGTGAGGAGGCCTAGGTAATCTATTGAGCCTTGGACAGCAGATCAGTACCCATCCCAACTATACACACGGTCTCTGGACTCCCATAGAACAATGTGAGGTGCACTCTCACCCTGAACTCTTGGGGAAGGGTCTAGGCCCTGCCCTATATGAAATGACAGACTATGGACACCCCCATGGAGGGCCTCACCCTCCCTGGGAGAATGAGGGGATAACGGGGGGGATGGGGGGAGGGCACGGGAGGAGGGGAGGGAAAGGGAGAGAGACCTCGTACTGACTTGTGAAGCAACCTTGTTTCTTATCTAAATTTAAAATGGAAAATAAAGAAAATATTAATAAAAAACTGAATCCACAGAGACACGCAGACATAGACTGTCTGAGGCTTGCTGCTTCCTCCTGTAAGCATATGTCTCTAGGGTCTTCCCCTACTGAACAGAGAGAGATTTTGTCTCATGTTCACAAGTCATGGACAACACAGGCCAGTCAGCTTGCCCACATGTTTTAACTCCCCTTCTCTCCAGGAGACCATTACTTTGATAAAAGGGAATTTTCTAATTAAATTTAAATACAATAAAATCAACCAGCACACCAGTATTTTACCTGCATAAAATGCAGGGATACATTGTCACATTTATATTTTAATTCTTAATTCTTAAATTGATCCAATGCATTAATCTTGTGATTTTTTTTTGCTTTAGTTGCATTATTGATTTTAGATTTACATTGAAGTTGATAAGCGTAATCTGGCTAGTTCTGAGTGGATAGAATAAATGAATTGGTAAGCCCAATTTGACTAGTTCTAAATGAATAGAATAAATAGTCCTAAAATTTTAAGATGGCTCAAGTGTTTATATGTGTATGCAACTCATATCTATGTATCTCTCTACATAGTCAATGGGTGAGTTATCAGGTCATTTTGCCTGTAAGTACTCTACCCTGAAAATATTTGGATCCTAAAAGAAAATGTTAAACACATGAAATTTGCAAATGTATTTAAAATATTGGAAGAAATGACTAAATAACTTGGAGGAACTAATTGTAAGTAGGAATGATTATTGCTAAGGGTTTAGACTGTTTAGTGTGAATTAGCCAAATATTAGTGAAAGAACAAGTAAGAAGTGATCCATGCTTCATTAGTAGAGGAACATTGTTTATTAATTGCACTTAAAATGTGAGGATGCTAGATTTAAAATTTCCAGCAGTAAGTAAATATTAAGTTAAAGCCAAAGTAGCTGTAAATTGCTCTTTCTCTGCAAAGCCCCCTTGGGCCTGAAAAGGCTGCACAGTAACACATTTCCACTTTGAATGAATAGGGGCTTTGTGCAGCCGCACACTGTTTACTCAACCCGAAGCACTTGTCTAGACAGGGACAATGAGCCACTTAGTGCCAAATATGAAGGGAGAAAGGTTCCAAGAACTCGTGGTGTGCTGTGGTTATTGGAAACCGTCTTCCTCTAAGTCCTCCACCACTCCATCCCTTGCATAACATTCTTATTTAAAGCCGTGTTTTCTCTAACTAAAAAGTGAAACCTGCCATTGGATCAGGGCAGGCTGAGGGTGTTCCGTCTAACAGCCCCGGTTATCTGACAGTGAAGCCAGAGAGCATTGCTCATAGGATTCCTAACTGCTGAGCGGCTGGAGCACGTGCTCTAGGGAGATGCTCTCAGACTCTCCTTCTGAGAAGGGAAAGGACTGCGTTTTCTGAAAAACTGTACCATGCCCTTCCTTGTCCAGAGGATGTAGGTTTGTTTGTTGTGCCCGAGCATACACCGGCCGAAGTACCTTAATATACCTGTGTCTAGCTTTTCTGTGTGTTAGTGTGTGAGTGTGTGTGTGGAGGCAGGGTTGGAGGCAGAGGAGCTGTTTTGCATGTGATCCCACTAGGGGATGCAGTTAGTTCAGTCACTGGGTTTTGTGAGTTCAAGATTTTCAGAGGCCTTGTGTCTTGAAGCAGCCAGTAGTGGCTCTATCTTTGTTAACGCTGGGCCGATTCCTTAGTGAAGCCGGTCTCCTGTAGCCCAGGGTGCAAGTCTTCATAGGGGATATGTTTCCTAAATCCAGGTACCGCTTGCTTTGCTTGATGGGTTTCAGTTTAATTTTATATTTTTAAATTATTTTTATTTTATGTGTGTGGGTGTCATCACATATGTGCCTGGTGCCGCCTGTAGAGGCCGGAAGAGGGTGTGCGATCCCCTGGAACTGGAGTTAGAGATGGTTGGGGGCCACTGTGTAGGTGCTGGACCTCACATGGGGTCCTCGGGAAGAACAGCAAGTGTCCTTAACTGTGAATCCATCTCCCCAGCCTTATTTCTTTTTAGTTGATTTTATTCATTATGAATTTTGGGATACTAGAGATGAATCCAAAGGGCCCACACGCCAGACAAAACTGAGCTGTATCCTAACCCTTCCACTGACTTGATCATAATGTAATGTTACATGCCATCAAGTTCATATCCCTCTTGACAGAGAGGGACTGGATTTACAGTAAAACTGGCATCCTTGGAAGACTGTGAAACACAGCTAAAGTGTCACCAGATCCTTCGGTTCCCAGAAGTGACTTCAAATCGGATCCTTCTAGCTGGGTTTACTTGCCGTCACACTCTGGTGGCGGGGCACTCTGAGTTGCTGTGTATTGCACGTGACTCCCCAGATCCCACCTCTGGGCCTCTCTCACTTATGTCAACTACATCGCCTCCTGAATCTGGCATCTGACCCGCTGTAATGTCTTCCTTCAGGTGGGGCATCCGATCTACACTTGGGAAGCAGACATGCTGCCATTGGAATGCTCTGCTCAACGCCGCGCAACGTTGAATTCACAGGTGCTGGGCTGGGAGGTCCAGGCTTTGAAAGGTCACCGCGATGCTCTGCTTCAGTTCTGGGGCCAAAATGCGAAGAGTGAGGATTGATAGGCGGTTCAGGTCTCTGTTCTCCCACTCCGCATTCTTTCCTCCTGTCCCCTTCCGTGATGCGCTCGTACCTGATGAAATTCATGTCTTTTTCGTCTTTTTTTTTTTAACTTTAAAAATTTCCTCACCTTCGGTTCCTGCATCAGAACTTAGGTGGAAATGTATGCAATTGTAATAAAGGAGGTAAAAAAAAATCATGTTGTCATTCAATTTGAAGTCTTTTAAACCTAATTTCAGCTAAAAAATAAAAATAAAAAAATAAATCGTTCAGCCTGGAGTCACTGTGGATCATTTACTTGAAATGTGTCAAGTAAGGTGGAGGACAATTTTCTTTGCATAGCTTACCTTTACTTCACTGTAATTTAATTTAAATGTTTATTTTTGTGGCTCTAGAGATCAAACCCAGGGCCTTGCACTTGCTAGCCAGGCACTTTGCTACTGAGCTATTATGTACTTAGACCCTTAGCTCCTTTTCAATAATAGGACTTGGTACATTTTAAAAATTAACGTTTTAGGAAAAATGAATTTCTGGTGACATTACCATTATTGGTTTCCAAAAGCACAGTCATCATTTAAAATATAGTTGATGTTTTTGAGTAACTTCCCTGATATATTGGATAGGAAAAAAATTGATGTTTTTTAAAAAAATAGCTAATAAAAATAAGAAAGTGGAAACAATATTAAGTTTCTTATATTTAATTCTGGGACTTCTGCTCTTGTGGTTTTTTTTATTTTATTTTCTCTTTCTGACTTTCGTATCAGCGGCTGATCTCTTACCATTATTGAAGGCTCTAGCTTCCTCACTATGGTAACAGATGCGGTTGGTGATATCCTTCACATCAGGAGAGGTGCAACTTCCTTCCCGTCCTGGGTGACTGCTGAGGACAGTAGACTCCCCACAGAAAACTGTGCTGAAGTTACTATCACAGCTGAACCTTGTAAGATAGGAGGCCCCATTTAAATGCTGTGGGTCTCATTCCGTTTTTCCAGCCTTCCAATGGCAGACCAGCAAGCAGATCAAGAAGATACCGATAATGTTGCTGGGTTGAGTGATTCCAGTTACCTTCTAGAGGTTATTTATATTGTTTCAACATTTCATTGAAGTAGTGATCTCTGTGTCGCAAGGAAAAAAACAAAAACAAAAACCTAAGACTACAAGACGCTAAATTATTTGACCAAAGTCCAGGCAGAATCAAAGGGTGAGGGTGGGCGTGGCCAACTCTGGGTTTTGGCAGTGAGAAAGTGCATTGCTTCCAGAGAATTGAAATACAATATTAAAATTGACTAAAAGTCAGGCTACATATCTTTTTGACATTTGGGTAAAATACACATAACAAAGACTTTTCATTTGGGAGTGAATTTACAGTGTGCAATTGTTACTATCATCTGCCTACAAAAACCCTTTCTTTCACCCCAAACTGAAGCCTTGTGCCCATTATAAAGTGACCTCTCTTTCTCCTCATTTCTGAAAAGCCACCACAGGTACCTCCTATAAGCGGAATTGTATAACAGTTATTGTATCATGAATAATAAAGACAGATATTGGGGAGACACAAGTTAAAGATTAGAAAAACTAAGCAGTTAAAACACTAGATAATTCTTACCTCTTCCAAGACTCAGACCAAAAAAGGGGTGATTCTGTCCCCAGTGTGACTGAAGACTGAATAGACTCCACTCATGTCTCCACCGCCTTATATTCCTCTCTAGTGCTGGGATTAAAGGTGTGTGCCACCACTGCCTGGCTTGTATGGCTGACTAGTGTGGCTAGCTTTCCACTCTGAACTTCAGGCAAGCATTATTTGTTAGATCAGAAATGAAATATCATCACTGTAAGGAGCATTCTTCCTGCCAGCCTGGTCCCAGGGTCCGGCCAACCCCCAAATAACACATGGAGACTCTATTAGTTACAATGTTGTTGGTCATTGTCCAGGACTTCTCATTGGCTAGTTGTGTCTTAAGTATTAACCCATGACTACTAATAAATATTTCTATAAGGACTTACCTTTTTGAGGACGGCATCCTGACGCATCCTCTCTTCCCAGGGATCACATGGTAACCCCTCTCTTGACTACATTTTCCAGAATCCTCTTCAACTCCTAGTCTCACCTATCTTGCTTCCCTATTGGCCAACAGTGCTTTATTAATCAAACAGTAGGACAACATACACACAGAAGGACTTCCCCCATCACATCACAAGTTAACTTTTGCACCTAGCTGATTTCACTTTGTGTAATGTCCTTAAAGCTCATCCACATTATGCATGTACTACAATTTCCTGTCTTCTTAAGAATAAATAATATTCTGTTGTATGCATATGGTACATTTTATTTGTCCATTTGTCTGTCAATGAACATGTATGTTACTTCTACTTTTTGGTTATTTTGAATAATGTTACTATGAACGTGTGTGTGTGTGTGTGTGTTTAAATTATAGTGTACTAGCAACTCTAATGTCAGTAGTAAGGCATTCAGAATTCTATTTTGGCCTTTCTTCAAGACTACTGGGATTTATAGGAATGTGTCACCACACCCAGGCCCTAAACTTCTAATGTGAAAGTAATTGTGGGTGCTGTTGGGTTTTAATAATATGTATGACTCAAAGCCTATACATGGGCTGACAGGTTGCAAGACATAGTAAGATCTAGGTCTGTCTCAGTCTGTGCTTTTGACTCCTGCTTCAATGTTTAATTATTTACTAGCAACTTTGCCCATTTTCTAAAGACAGCTAACTCTCTGCTATCAGTGTAAGGGTTATACCTACTCTGCTAAGCACAGGATCAGGTGAACATGGCCTTCTCTTCCTCAAGGACTATACTCTCAGTAGGGAAGAAACATGGTGTGATTGTTTGAACAGTATTAGGAAATCAACTGGTCTCTTGTTTTTGTATTGCTTTGTTTTTGTGCTGTAATCCACATGGCGAGATGGGAGGGGAGTGAGAAATTGTGCAGAACAATGGGACTCAAGACCCTTTCCCGTTTCCATGTAGGTAGAGAGTCTTGAATTTTGTCTACAAATGTACTCACCTGTCATTCATCCATCTTAGATGGTAGTTAATACCTTTTCTGCTTCTTGTAGGTTAAAGTGGGATTGTTTAGCTTGGCTCAGGACACTGGATAGAGTCTTAGTTGAGGAAGGCATGAGTGCCTAGCTGTGGTTTGTGCATGAGGAAGGGAATAAATGGCAATAAATGAAGGCAAGGAATTTGTGGTGTTGCAGTATATGGTAGACAGGTATGAAAAGTTGGTGGTTTTCTGCTGTATTGGAAAGTCAATCCATACTGACTAGTATGTGCTGAGTTTCTGAGAAACTGCAAGGTATCTGTGGGTCACCTGTAGATGGTGGAGCGTACTGCTGTGGATGGGGTGTGGTACCTGAGTGCACTCTAGAACTGGAACTCAGCAGGTCAGCATGTAACCGCAGCACCACAGTTTTCTGTGCAGAAGCAGTTTTCTGGTTCTTCATGAATTCAGCATTCTTGGGTGATCTCATGATGAAGGGTGGGACTGGGAGGGAGCCCATGGATTAAATTCTTATGAGTCAAGAGGGTGAGATGGAGGGTACATTTTAATTTTAGAAATAATGGAATGTGACTTTTTTTGCACCTGAATAGTGAAGAGCAAAATTCCTGCATGTTATACAAATAAACAAGTAATTGCAACAGAGTGGTGAAAAATGTTTGGGGAAGCATCAGGCTCACAGAGAGCTTTTAGGACAGAGACAGGAAGAAGGCCTCCTGGGAAGAAATGTCTAAGCCAAGAACAAGCAGCATTAGCCAGAAGAAGGGTGTTGGGAAAGCAGAAGAATGTTCCAGACATGGGGAATTAAAGGCACAGAGGCCCAATGGTTGAAAAGGTGTCAGCAGAATCCCAGGAAGAGGGCACAAGGAGTTATAGGGTAAAAGGTGGGTGCATGACTGGGCAAGACTGTCCCTACAGATAGAAAACCTCACACTGGGAAGGAAGTTCAGGAAGGCAATAGGGGGAAATGTGTGTTTGATGGAAATGTGTGACAGGGCAAGAGCTAGGGTTTGGAAAGGCCACTCTGGCTTCCAAGGTGACAAGAAGGGACGCTCTATCTGATGACTTAGCCGCTGAAGGGAGGCAGGATTCTTGGAATTGGCGGAGTCATGTTCTCTAGCTCCAAGAGAGGCTATGCTCTGTAGCTTCCTCCTAGCTTCTGTGTTGTCAGCAATCCTTGCTACAGCCTGGCTAGCTGATGCACCATCCAGCCTTTGCCTTTGTCACCACACAGTGCTCTCCTTGTGTCTCATGTCTCCACATCACCTTTTCTCTGTGTCTCTATCCTTGTGCATCTTGTTGTGAGGCCAACGGACAGATTGCATTTAAGTTTTCCTTCATCTTAACCAGCTGTATTTATAAAGACTCCCTCCTCAAATGGTTATGTTCTGAGGTTTCTGGAAAGACATGAGTGGGAGGCAGGCTCTAGTCTACATGGGATACATCTCATGGAAGCACACCAAAGCCGACTATGAATTATGGGACACCAGGTATCTGCCTCATCAGTAATTTCCTTTTGCTAAAGCATTGCTTTGCAAATAGGAGCTAACATTCTCTAGAAGCATGTTCCCATGAGTTGCGTGGGAGTCTTAGGAGTCTGACAGATCTTCTCTAATGAGAAGCCATATTTTGTCAGATTGTCATCAGTATTTCATAATTCACTTTTAAAATCATTAACCTGGAGCGGCAGAACAATGACCCTTTGCACTTCCCTCCAGGTGTGCGTTGCCTGCAGAGCGTCAGCCACATGCAAACACATCTGGCTGCCCCTCATCTGAACTTCAGGCTTTCCTCACATCTGGAAAAGCTTCTGTCAAGGTTCCAGGAGGAGAAAGATTGCATCATGTGTATTCTCACTTAAACACGTGCTGTTTTCTCCATTGAGAGAGCATATACTACTGCTACAACATAAGCTATAAGTGTCCATGGAAGTGTCTAAGAAATGATGCTAGGCAAATACTCATGCCATATCTGAAGAGGTGAAAACAGTGAGGAGTGGGCTGACGTGGATGGCCTGATTAACATCCAGAGCTATGATGATGTCTGGGCCCGGGCTGTTCCCAGGGCCCATATCTGGGTTCATGGCCATGTTGTAGCCTTGGTCTTGTGGCTCCTGATATGACCAAAAGTCAAGAGGATAAGGCTATACAGAGTTGGCCCTGCCTCTCACTGACTGTAACACTAAGAAGAGATGGTCCTGACCCTCACTTAGGTAGCACAATATATCCGACCCTGTTTGTGGGGACATGGGCA